GAGCTTCACCACAGCCTGTACTGTCAGGGGAAGAATGGCTTCCAATGAGTCTCTGCAGGTATTGAACAGTACTCTTCCTTTTTTTTTTGGTTTTTCTCCGGTACCGGGAACCGAACTCATGACCTTGCGCTTGCCAGGCAGGCGCTTTTGCCGCTGAGCTAAATCCCCAGCCCAAGGCACAATATTTTTTATTTGAATATACTTGAGAGCAGGATTTAAAAGCTTGTGAAAATCGCAGTTGCATTAAAGAGATAACTGTGACGTGAGGCACAGACCACTGAGGACAGGCTTTCGTGTAGGCAGGGAGGCACACAATTTAGTGCCCACAGGGAGCACTGGCTTCTTAAGAGGGCTTGAAAGAAGGCAAAGGACATTAGGTGGGAAAATCTTAGTAAACACCAGTGATCAAAGTTCTCTAAATGTCAGGTGCTTCAGTGGTCAAAGACCTCGGGGCACTGGGTGTAAATGTTTGGATGTTTTCAGATGTCCTGGTGCTTGGAAGATCCTGTGCTCCATCTTATCTCTTCTTAAGACATCCTGTGTTTGCCAAAGGCAACAGCACCAGGGCTGAGCTGCGTTTTCTCTGAGAACAGTGCCCCTGCTCACAAACAGGTTGGGTGCCGGGAGAGTCATGCCTGAACTGAGCTGACAATAACATGCACATAATCCTGACACAGAGTGAAAGTGACATATTATAGAAGATGAAGTGTCCTTGAAATGTGGGGCTTAACCAGTTACTTAATACATGGAGCATAGTGGATCAGTGGGGCTTTCCTAGAAGAGAGGTAGCATGTGAGATTTGATTGCATTAAATAAGAAGATCAGGCAGAGGAAAAACTCAAAGAAAGAGGGTATCGTGGAAAGGAATGTGTTTAGGAACAGGAGGAGAAAATTTCAATGTGGCAGATGTGGTTTTTTTTGAGACAGGGTTCAGGCTGGCCTTGACTCATTATGTAGCCCAGGCTGGCCGTGAACTCGCAAGGATCCACCTGTCTCAGTCTCCAGAGCACTAGGATTACAGGTGTCCATTACCATACCTGGCAGCAGATGTGTATTGAGTGTAAACCTTGTGTAATTTTGCGTGTAAACCTATACAAGGACTGGGCCCTGTCTATAGGGATTGGGGTTTGGATTGTTAGGTATTCTGGGAGTCATGCCATAAATTAGTTCTAGAACAAATAACTTTGCATTGATGTGATATATGGAATGGAGACTAAGCAGACAGGAATTACGAAAAGGTTAAACTATTTCAGACATCCTTAGCTAGTGTACTTACAGCTTTAAAATATAGAAACAAGAAGACCAGAGATTTGAGGAACTTGTTCATCCATGCATCCATTCACTAAATATTTTTTGAGCTCTTTTTTTTTTTTTTTTTTTTTTTTTTTTTTTTTTATGGAAAAAAATAAAGCAAACTGTCAAACCAAATTAGGAGAATAACAATAGTTGGGGCCAGGGACATAGCACAGCAGCACAAGCGCCTGTGTGGTAGACACAAGGTCCTGAGTTCAATTCCCAGTACCCAACGTGACCCCGCAAAGAAACAACAGTTGATACACTGTGTATTGTTATCTTCAAAGTAGTTACGCAGAGTACAAGATGTGGGCATAAAAAGTTCTTCAGATGAAATTAGCACAAACCTTTTTTCAATGAACTAAGAGAAACTAATTATATAACTATCTTGTACTTATTTCCCCTTCCTTTTCCCTTTTTCCCACCCTAGTTCCTCTTTCCTTTTGAACAATTTCTTCCCATTTCACAATATCTGTTTTACATTTTGGACCTTATTTACTCTTTCAGTTTCTCGCAACGGGGAGACAGTATGCTGTTTACACATGCGAGTCTGATTTATTTCACCCATCAGTATGGTCTCAAGTTAAATGCATTTACCTATATAAGTCTCAAATTTATCATTCTTTATGGATAAGTAGTACTCTATTGTGTAAAAATACCATATCTTTTTGTTATCCATCCTTGGCTGATGGGCATTTGGGTTGTTTCTAAGATACAGCTATTACAAATTGTGCTGCTATAAACATGGGTGCATGCATATTGCTGTGGTCTGATGTTTTTAATTTGTCCAGGAAAATACTTAGAAGGGGAATAGCTGGGTGGAATGGGACCTCTAGGCCTAGTTTTTTGAGGAAAAACATACTGATTTCTACAGTGGTTGCAGCAGTCTGCACTCTCACAAACAGTGGGGAAGAGTTCCTTTTCCTCACAGTCCTTGAGCTCATATTTTAAATGATAGTTTAAATTTATTTGTATTAAGGAAGGGCTTTTCTCTAGCAAAGGTATCTGGACCACCAGAAGAAATAAGCTGAGATTCATATAAATAAAAATAAATTAATGTAGCTTTCCATTCTTTTGCTTATTGAACATTTACTAAATGTTATGTGATAATTATGCTAGGGCTTATGGGAAATAAGTTGAAGATAAGGTGATCTTGTTTCAGAAAACTTTACATTCTCATGAAGGCAATCTTCCGTAATTACTCAGTTAAAATATGGTAGGTAAACGTTAGTTGAATACTTAGTAAAATATTAAAAGAATGAACTGTGCTTTGACATTGAGGTTTGGTGGAGTAAAGTAAATGGAGATATAAAAGAACACAGCAAAGGTGAAGATGCACAGAACGGTTGGACAGAGAAATTAGTAAGTTAGGTGACTGTGTCCTGGCGGGGCCCACATGCCAGACACGTTCCTGTCGCAAAAGTACAAGCGTCGTGTTTGCCTAAGCCAGCACATCAGCAGGCACTTTTATTAAACGTAGCCTTTGGTTCTTGACACATGAGTAAATTTGGCTGCAATTTAAAGTATTTTTGCTTACTTCACAGAAGTTCATAGAATTTTTTTCTTAATTCGTATTTTTAATGGGCTAGGGAAAAGAGTGAAGTTTACTGTGCTTCTCAAGAAAGATACCCTTCCGCCTTTTCATGTTTTCTGTGTTTGTATTCTCCACCATCTAGTAAAGATAATGTTGCCTCTTGAGGCCACATGGAATTAGGCTTACAGTTGTACTAAGCTCAGCAGTGCCATCCCCTCCCTCATCTCATTCTTAGCAGTGTTCTTTCTGTATGATAGATTTTTTGAAACTTTTTCTCCTTTTTATAAAGCTTTCTATTGACGTTTACTCATTTTAGAAGGCATTCATGACTTATTTTTAAAAATTTTATTTTAAGGGAAATGGCTACCACTTTTGCTCGCCTGTGCCAGCAAGTTGATATTACTCAAAGGCATCTGGAAGAAGAAATTGGTAGATTGTCCAAAGAAATAGATCAATTGGAGAAAATACAAAACAATTCAAAGCTGTTAAGGTAGTTAAAACCTTTTTCCTCAATAATGTGAACATCTATTGGTCTTATTACTAAATATAATTATGTAAAATCACTAACGAATTTATATTGAAACTTCTAATAGTTGGTTTAAATTTTGATCTTTCATATATAATTCCATCTGTTTTGCAGTTTCAGTGAAAACTAATTTTAATAAGAGAATGAATCTGAAGAATTTTATAGGTCTAAACTTAACTCTGTTAGGGGGCTGGGGGTTTAGCTCAGCAGCACAGCGGCTGCCTGGCAAGCACGAGGTCATGAGTTCCCCGTACTGGAAAAAAAACAAAAAAAAAAATTAAAAAATTTAAAAAAAAATAAACTTAACTCTGTTAGGTTAAATTAGTACCCTCTCAGAACAGAAGTTCTGTAACTTAGTTTTTATACTTACATATTGAAGACCATAACTTCTGTTCTCATTGGGGACTATTGGGTAAGCTTAAATTTGAAAGAACAAAGGCAAGATTTTATGATAAAGTGTGGATTTCCTGGGTGATATGATTTGTTGTGGAGTCTTTAAGATTTAATGAAACTTGCTTTGGGTGCACGGCTAGAAGTACCACCATAAGTTCGGTGCTTGGCAGTTCTCTCGGGTCCCACACCCCTTAGTCGGGCTGCCGGCCTGTCTGGGAAAAGCACTTAGCACCATCTAAACACTTACTTCCAGGGCACATACTGCATACAATTGCTCATGTGAAGGCAGCTCAGCAGCCTCAGCCTCCCAAGTGCTGGAATTGCAAGCGTGTACTACCATGCTTGGCAGTAGCAATGTTTTTTAAATGGAATTTTTAAATTGAAGGAACTGTGTTTGTGACCTGAAAGTGGGGGACATGTAGTTGTTATGGACCACATGATGTTTTGATCAGTGATGAACCACATATATATGATGGTGGTCCCATAAAATTGTGGTGGTGAAGAATTCCAATCACTATGGCCATCATAAAGTCATAGTGTGACACGTTAATCGTGTCTGCTTAGTTATACAAATACTTATTACTGTGCTGTAATTGCCTATGGTGTTCAGTACAGTAGATTGCTGTACAAGTTTTTAACCTAGTAGCAATAATACCATGATTGCCTAGGTGTGTAGTAGGTTATAACATAGAGGTTTGTATACGTACACTGTATGATGATCACATTACAATAAAATCAACCAGTGATGTATGAGTGACTCTTAGGAGGTATTGTAGTTCTTAAGCAAAGTATGGCTGTGTTTGGAATTTCCATGATTACTAGATCAGGCTTAAATCAGTTGTATTAGTTAACTTGCCTACTGCCCTGGGAGAGTTGCCTAAAGTTCAGTGGTGTTTATAGCATCGGTACGTTTCATGTGACTCAACCATATGCATGCAGGAACAAAATGAGATTCTCCCCCTCTACAAAGTAGACAGCCGCCCACTCTGAGCATGGGGCAGTGGGAGGCACACATCTGTTTGTGCTAGGTTGAGTTTTAGTTTTCCTTCCTTATTATAGACAGCTGCATCAGGTATGATCTAGTATTGAAAAATATTTCATCCCATGACCCGTGAACATCTGCCAGCTTCTCTGCATAAACTGATTTATCGAGAGCTTTGTGCTTCACTTATACAAACCATGTGAGACTTAACATGTAATTCCCATGGAGGATGAGAAGACCCCATCGACTATTACGCTTTGGTTCTCTTTCCTCACTAAAGCTTTTGTCTTTTTATCTCAGTTTAACTTTTTAGCTCTTGGACACGTAGGTCTGCTTACTGCACAGCTGCTGTAGCACACACGGAATACTCTGAAAAGGACTGGTAATAATCAAACCCGAGTTACAGTAAAACTAACAGCAAGCTGGTTGTAGAGTTTTGCATTTTAAGAATGGACAGAATGCATTTTCCTTGTTGACTTTTATGATAATAACTGTTTGTTTTTTTTTAATTAGAAATAAAGCTGTTCAACTTGAAAATGAGCTGGAGAATTTTACTAAGCAGTTTCTGCGTTAAAGCAATGAAGACTCTTAGTAGAGATTGCTTCGGTGACCGTGTGAGGAGGAAGCGGAATTTGGAAGATGGGACAGTGGTTATTTTTATGAAATGACTTCAGTATGAATTACACTAACCGTGCAAAGCCCTGTGTAGATTCTGGTAATTGTCCATCTCAGGGTGTTTGCATTTCTGAGGAATGTTATGATAGGTCGTTAGTTTTAATTTGGGGTTAAAAAGAAGACAAAATTATTTGTGTTAAATAATGAATTAGTTAAAAGCAATAGAACCAGCTAAGTGACCCCTGAGGGGTGGGTCCTTGAGCTCTTCATTAGGGCTTTGTTTTGATTCTGGAAAACTCTGCTTCCTGGCATCCAGGAGTTGGAGAATAATCCTTTCATCTTTTTTTCTCAAAACTAGTTTTTGATGCCTTCTTTAATGGGAATAGTCAGGTTTTTTTGTTTCGTTTCATAAGCTGCCTTGCTCTGACCATCCAGGAGTGTGGGATGTTCTTGAGTGTACCATGGATAAAACCTACAGTCTCTTCGCCATTGTGGCAGCATGTAAACCACTAATAAATACACTGTTTTTACTCCTTCTTTTATTCCCTTTAAAACTGATGTTATATAGCATAAAGGTTTGTTAATATAGTCACTTATAAAACTATCTGAGTTTAAATAGTTTCCCAGTTGGTTTATTAAGAAATGTTTTCAGCTTGGTGCAGTTTTAAATCCAGTAAGGTAAAGCTTTCCTGTTTGAGGAAGAAAGTTTGAAGTAGAAAAAGAAAAGGAAATAAAAAAAAAAAAAAACAAAAAACAGCCAAAGGTACAGGAGGTCTGAATTTGGGTTTTAACAGTGTTTAGAGCTCTTCATCAGTAGGCACTTGCTTAAGATTCTGCTGGATTGTCTCCCATTAGAGGTTTTTACTTTTATTTGATTATATGAATTTGCCCAGGCTTCATTAAAAATTGTTGCTGTATTTTTTACCTTAATGAAGTGTTGATGGGTTCAAGTATTGTGTCCGTTTCTGTATTAAAAACTGACTGGTTTATATGGATACTAAAAATGACATCATTCTAGGATCTTGTTAAAAAAATAAGGGATCACCAGATCAGCATCACCTAAATGCTTGTTAAAATGCACAACCCCAGGGGACAAAGCGCATTTGGCCACGTACAGCGTGTGACCGTTTTGGTACCGGGAATCCAACTCGGGACCTTGCGCTTGCCAGGTAGGCGCTGTGCCGCTGAGCTGTATCACCAGCCCACGAGACTCTTTCTTGACAGACACAACTCTGGGCCTTTTTTCCTTCAGTGCTTCCTCTTCTGTGCCTTTTAAGGCTCCTGGATGCTAGTTGGTCTTTTCATAGCATGTGTGTATTCCTATTTTTCAAGACATTTGAAGAAGAAATTACATTATTTAGGCAATAGGAGCTTTTAAAAAATATTTATATTTTTATGCAAATCAGATAATTTGGATGCAGTATTCAAATTTAAATACAGATCACTTAGTTTTTAGCTTTTATTGTTGATACACAAACCAAAATGAGGACAGGCCACTGATAAGGGGTAGGTGTTCACAGTGACACAAAAAGCTAGTATCTAATAAAGACTGGGTACTGCATCAGTTTCAGTTACAAGTTATGTTAAAGTACTTGAACTTGGTCATCACCTCAGTACAGTATGTACAGTGGTTCTTGAAGTTTGATCCCTGGATTATCACCATCACTTTTGAACCTGCAAGAAATGCAGATTCTCAGGTCCCAACTCAGACCTAAGGAATGAGAAACTCCAGGTTTGAGGCCTGGCAACATGTTTTAACAAGCCCTACAGGTGATCCTGACACTCACTACAGTTTGGGAACACTGGTGTAGTGTTTCTGATATGGTAACTGGTAAGTTCTCTTAGTTTGTGTGGTTCTGCCTGATCAAGTTTGAAAATGTATGATGGACGTTGGGAATGGAACACTAAGATAATGGGAACTAACTTCTACCCACGCAGCAGTGCACCTGTAGTCCATGACTTCTGCAGAAATTATGTAACTACAACTGATGTAATTCGAAGTTAATACAAATACACTTAATTATTTACTGTGTATGTCTGCAGGGTTATTTATACACTTTGTGTAATTTTAAACTTTTTACAAAACATTTTTTAAATATGCAAGCTTGCAAGGTGAAAATAAAACTTGTTTGCCAGATAGTTGATGAATGTAGCGTTTGTACTAATCTTTAGTGAATTCTGGTCTTTTATTTTTAATCGTTTGTGTAGTAGGCTTATAAACCATCTTCAATTAACTGGCTCTTATGATTGTATTACCATACTGTTGTTTAGTTCCAACTATTAAAGGGTAAGTAAGATGCTGGAGACCACATGTTGAGAGGTTCTCCACGTTAGAGGCACAGTTTACGCGTAATTACCCAGTATTCTTCCCTAGACAAATAGAACTAATGTAGGTTGTAATGAAGCAAAAGTAAGTAAAAACTTTTAAATCAGTATTATAAGGAGAACTAGTTATTGCCAGGTGTGGTAGTGCACGCTTGTGATCCCAGCACTCAGGAAGCTGAGGCAGGAAAATTGCTGTGAGTTTGAGGCCAGCCTGGGCTACAAAGTGAGCTCAAGGCCAGCCCGAACTGCATAGTGAAACCCTGTCTCAAAAAGAACAACAAAAAAATTGGTTATTAAAAATTAACAGGAATCTAGATTATCCTGAAGGAACTACAGGGGAAGAAGTCCTTTGCTTTTAAGGGAAAATCTCTGGCCTGTTAACAGTAAAATGGAAGCGTATAGTGCTGCAGGATAGGGTACTCTTTGCTTCTGTAATTTCACTTCATTTATTTTTCATGGAAAAAAATTCTCCAATGTTTAAAGGAATTAGGGCTGAGTATGAAATACTGGATTTAAGAGTTTAGTACTGGGACTTTAAAAAATAAATCCTTATTAAAGCATGCTACAGTGAACTGTGGTTAAAAGCACTTTATTGATTACAATTATCAATTCACACATTATCTCACAAAGCAACTGTACAAATAAAGGAATCACTGTAAGAAAGATCCAAGAATACTGTTAAGTCATGGCCCACGTCCACATTTTGTATGGTTTAAAGCTTGTAAAGAGGCTTTAATCTAGCATGTTTACTTTTACCGTGATCAGACATTGTCCCGACGTTCGTATCAGTTGGCCACAAGTGTGTAAAAACTGCCTAATAGGATAAGAAAATGTAAATGTTTGGATGCTTATTTAAAAAGAAAACAATCGGAGAGAGCACCATTGTGTAAAAGACAGAAAAAGCTTGAAATACTCTACCATGTGCATCACTGAAGTTCTATTAACTGAAAAATATTATGTAAGTTTTGGTAAGTACATCAGTTGAAATAAGTTTTTTTTTTTTTTTTCATAATGCTGCACTATTGTACTGTATTTTACAAAACCAGTCATTGGTTTAAGAAAAAAATTGTTTTAGGAAATTTTATCAACATGCATAAAACACTAAGTACAGGGTGCACCATCAATCTGATTGATAAATTTTTAAAACAAGAACACTATAGCTTAGATGTTCAAAAAAACCATTTTAGTGTCTGTTGTAACCCGTACTTTAAAATACAGTGCTGCACTGAATTTGAGGCAGCCCACAATGAGAAGTGAAGAACTAGTAAATCAGTCGATTCAGTTCAAGATACTAGTTTTATTTATTGTGCTACTCTTTCTCATAAAAAGATGAGGTTGTAAAAATTCTAACGAGATCAGACAGAATTTTGAAGTTTACTTTCCACAACGGTAAAAGGGAAGACAGCAGCAGAATACAGCACTGAAGGATTTTGTAAAAGCCTCACTTACCCTAAAGATTTTTGAAAGAACATTCATTCCTAAAATGACAGGCCCATTTAGGGATTGTTCAGTTATAAGTTAAACTAACCAAACATAAGCATCAATACTAAATGTGTTATAATTTAAAGTGAGACATTCACATCAAATTTCACTTTCATAATTGTCTTAAGTATTAAATTTAAGACATCACTAGGGTTAGAGGAGGTTGGCCACAACGTTTTTTAGCAGTAAAAATTCTATTTTGTCACCTGAAGAAAAGCCAGTGTCACTATTCTTCGATTAAAATTCCTTACCATACTCCAGAAGCATGAACATCCATTAACTCAAGACCAGTTTACTTGGTTCATGTAAGTCTAAATTAAAATGAACTGCTTACTAGGTTCTCTTGCTGTTACATTCTAAGTCAAAAGTCTTTGCTTGTATGCATATGGAATTCAGTATGGTGGTTCACCTGGAATTCAGGGCTGGGAAGAGAACGTAGTTTGAGTCCATCAGCGTTCACATCAAGTAAGTTTCCCTGAATGCTTCTGGGGAAATGAGACTTATCAAAGCAGAGGAGATATAGTTGCCGATAGCAAAACCTGCTTTCATAAGCAGCATGGTAACCAAACGATGTGGTGGTCATGTTTTAGAGAATATGTGTCTTCAAAATACTCTGGCCAGGCAGGGCGTGGTGGCGCATGCCTGTAATCCCAGCACTTGGGAGGCTGAGGCAGGAGGATCGTTGCGAGTTCGAGACCACCCTGGGCTACAAAGTGAGCTCAAGGCCAGCCTGAACTGCACAGGGAGACCCTGTCTCAAAAAGACAAAAAAAAAAAAAAGAAACTCTGGCCAGAGCAGGGTGTGGCAGCATGGGTCCTTAGTTCCCAACCCAAGGGGCTGAAGCAGGATTGTCTGGCCAGCCTGGGCAACATAGGACCCTGTCTCAAAAAAGAAAATAGAAATCTTCCTAGACCTCAAAATTTACTTTCGACATGTAGTAGTCTTCTGAGGCACATTCTGTGTAAAGGTTTCTGTTCATGGGGCTGCCGACCTGCGCCTCACACTTGTTAGGGAAGAGCTGTAGCCCCAGCAACGTAAACGCTGCGGTAAGGAGAATACTTCATCAACAATTGGCCCTGTGCACAACTACCCATAATACTCAGTAGTGGGTAGTTTTCAGTTGCCTAGTGCATGTTATAGGAACTGCTTTAAATTCCTCTCTACACAAACTTTAATGACATTAAAATGTCATTTAAAAATGTTAAGCCCATGGAAGTCTAGTCTATTGTGCCTCTAAAGTATCTTATTACAGTAACTTTTAAGAAGAGATACTGTCTACATATATGTGTGAAATGTGTGTGTGTCTCCGTGGTTATTTACACACGATAGAAGTGCTTTCTTGAACTGAAATTTGGAACAAATTGCTGAAACCCTTTTTTGAGAATGAATGTGTTCTTTTAAAATGTGCCCTGTATCAAGGAGCTGCTCACTATGAAGTGATATAAATAGTTCACGACAGTACACAGTTCATAGAAATCCTAATCAAAAGATGAATACACATTCACACCTGCCATCTCTAGAATATTGTTTTGGTCCTACATTGCCTCTATCCATTTTATTCTATTTCTCATATCAACTGACCTTAATAAACAACAAAAAAACCACTGCTTTCACTACAGTTGATGCACATACCAGCATATTTACAATATAAAAATGAAAATTTACATGTAAAATTTAGAATATTTAGCGTTATAGGTGATCAAAAGTTAACTAAATAGTAGTTTATAGTTTACTAAGTTACAAAATGCACTTCTATATGTATCAGAATAACACATGACTTTACATCAAGCAAGACAGTACTGTATCACTTAACATTTCTAGGAGAAAACCAGAGAAGAAAAGTATCTGTTTGAAGAGTGGGAACATTTTAGTAATAAATACATCACTGACAAGTGGAGGGATTGCTCGGTATGCTCCTGACTCCTTTGAAAATTGCTTTGGGAATTTGGCTTTAAAGCTGGGTCACTGCAATCTAGATATTTTTTGACACAAAACCACTTAAAAACCAGTATTTTGTGAGGAAAGATATAAAAGCAAAAAGCTTAAATGTTTCAAAGAAAGCTGGGGGCTTAGACAGTTTACATAAATTCAGATTTTTGTTTGTTTGAAGATAGTGTCTCACTATGCAGCTGAGGCTGGCTTTGAACTCACTATGTAGCCCAGGTGTGTGCCACCACACCTAGCCAAAAAGTCAGATTTTATACTGCATAAAATTCATAAAGCCACCTTGTTTAGAGTAAGTCAGTGCTAGCAAATGGCCAAATTTTATGTTTCTCTCAAAAATGTCATAGCATTTCCTGTCTAGATGTTACTAATAGAAAAAAACACCAGGTAAGGTTCTTCGGATGCAGAGACAATCCAAATTTTTATCAGACTTTTGAAGTATAAGTACACTCTACAAACTTCCAAAATATGCAATCAATAGACAAGTCCAGAGGTTTATCGGTTATTACTCAAGAGTGTCAAAACTGACCATAACCAGGTTTTTAAAATGCCAAGAATTATATATATGCTGGCACTTACATTTCATTAATATAATAAATTCTAATGAAACTTCTTAGGTTTGTCCATAATGTCGGAATGTGAGCTTTTTTCTCTGGCACTCATATAATTTGTTCTCTCAAAGGACTAAAAATAGCGTGCGCTTAGAATGACTTTCCTCAGAGGTACCTCTCCACCAACACTATCATGAGACAGGGTCTCACTGGGTAGTTCAGGCTGGCCTTGAACTCACTGTGGATGCTAGGCTGGCCTCAAACTCATGGTGATCCTCCTGCCTCAGCCTCTTGAATGCTCAAATTATAGGTGTGCACCACCACGCTGACAACACTAAGTGGTTGCTTAGATAAAAAAACAATGTCAAATTCAAGGGGACTTCCTTCTTAAACACAGCACACACGCATACTACCACTTCCATCTATTACAAGGCCTGATTCTTGCATTACAAAACGCAAAGACAGGGCATTTTTTACATATTCAAAATTTAAGATGTAGTTCTTCACAAAAAGCAAACACCATGGGCAACTGCTATAAAGTATACATTCTGATCTACAAAAAACAACACAGTACAACCAAGAATTTATCAAGGTTAAATTACACTAACTTCTCAAATTAATGAATACATTGGTCCTTTTGATCTCGGCAGGCTCTGCCTTATTTTCTCACCTTTTTGTAGTTTACTGAAAGCTTTTTGTATTGAATACAGTAATAAAAAAAATCTTCACCTGCAAATATAAGGTAGAATTTGTTTTCACAGCTATAGGCTGTAGCATTGATTTCTCCAGATATTGATGGAGAACAGAAAAAACACATGACACTGTTAATTCCAGACCCTAAGAAAACTGTCCCAAGAGCCTGTTGCCACAGCCATGCCATCATCAGTTATACCTAAACAGCTGACTCGGTTGTCATGACCAGCAAGGACACCTAAAAAAGAAGGAGGAACAAAGTTAGCACCTGTACCTTTAGAACTGACTAAGTACGTACATCTAGAAGCACTCTTTTTGGCGGGTGTGAGGTGAGGCAGACTGTTGCTGGGCAGCCCAGGCGGGGCTCAAACTCACAGCAGTCCTCCTGTTTTTGTCTGTGGTGCTGCGATTACAAGGGCACTACCTCACCCGACTTTAAAAGGGGTCTTAAAAATAACAGGTTCCAGCTGGGTGTTGGTGGCACATGCCCGTAATCCGTGCACTTGGGAGGCCAGCCTGAACTGCACGGCAAGACTGTAAAAAAGAAAAGTCCTTCCAAGCTGGGGTGGAGCCTTTGTGCACACAGCCTGAGTTCAATCCCTAGCACCATGTGAAAAGAAAAAAAAGGTTCACTGAATATCCAGCACAGTTCATAAAAATGGATCCAAAGACAAAACTGGCAGGAAGTCTGAGGATTCTTAGTGTAAGAACATCAGAGTTAAGAATATAAACCAGAAAATTAACTCTAGAGAATATAAAAAATCCATATGGCAAAGGAAGTCATAGTGTATCCCGCACTGCTCAGCGGGGAGTACTTTTTAAAAAAGCATAATTACATGAACACTGATCGTAAGGAAAACTTACTCCATGGGGAGAACTAGAGAACGGGGGATGTGGCTGCTGTAAAGCAGGGAGGTGAATGCCACGCCCCTGTAACGGTCAAGCCATAAGGCCCAAAGAAAAATCACACACCAGCAACCGAGCATGTTATTTACGGTATGAAAGTAAACAATTAAAAAAGATTGAAATTGTTACTCTGGGAAACAGAAAATATGGATGGGGGTCAAAGGTAACAAATCATGAAATCAGTATGGAGATTCCTCAAAAAACTAAAAATAGACACTACATTTAACCCAGCTATTCCCCCTTGTAGATATCTTCCTGAAAGTTAAAGACATCACATTACAGTGATACATGCACACCCTTGTGTACAGCAGCACAACTCAAAGTAGCTGAATCTGTTCACATGTCCATCAACAGATGAATGCATAAAGAAAATGAAGTATTTATACACATGGAGTACTACTCTGCCATAAAGGAGGATAAATTTGAGTCATTTCTACAAAAATGGAGACTATTAATGTTAAGTGAACTATATCAGACACACACGCATGGTTCCCCATAGGAGAAATACTGCATGGTTTCTCATAGGAGACACTAGAGCAAAATAAAATAGGAAACAAGAGAGATCTTTCTCAATGGGGAGGAGAGACGAAGGGATGGTTAAAAGAATTAAGATGTGTCACATATGTTCATCAACACCCAGCAATCAATATAATCCTTCTGCAAATATGTACTAATAAAAATTTATACATTCCTAAAGGTAACAAATTGTACAAAACATTTGATTTTTTTCAAAATTAAAAATCACTGTGTAGTCCTCAAACAAACAAACAAAAAAAAATCACTGTGTAGTCCTCAGTATGGGTGATGTTTGTCCCAATACTTTGGAACCTGCAGGGGAGAACGCAGGGTGAGGCTCGGGGAGGACAACAGGTGTATGGCCTGTCCGTTACAGTCTGTTGCGAAGGAAGGCAGCAATCCACAGCAGCTACAATGGTTCCTATCAGGCTGTAAGAAAAGCATGATTATAAAAAGACCATTGTAGCCGGGTGTGGTGGCACATTCCTGTAATCCCAGCACTAGGGAGGCTGAGGCAGGAGAATCGTTGCAAGTTCGAGGCCAGCGTGTGCTATAAAGTGAGCTCAAGGCCAGCCTGAACTGCATAGCGAGACCCTGTCTCAAAAAAAAGGTAAATAAAAAGACCATAGTGAGTGACACTCATTATTTATCTTTATACCCAAACTTACTAGAATTTACTCTTCAGAAAACAGAAATAAAAATACAGATAATGGACTGTATCTGCATTCAAAGGGGTAACAGCCGTTGAACTGTAACGAGAACCTCCACCTTACCATTTTCCACAGCTCCAGCGCATCCACGGAAGCCTGTGAAATTACCCGCAAGAACATCCTCACTCCTCCACTTAATCAGAAGTGAATACAGACTCACTAACCTGCACGATCTCCTTTCAGCGTGTCCCAGACATTGCAGTTGAAATCATCATAACCAGCTAGCAGGAGGCGCCCACTTTTCGAGAAAGCTACGGAAGTGATCCCACAGATTATGTTGTCGTGAGAATACAGTAACAATTCTTGGTCTGCACGGAGGTCGAAGAGCCGGCAAGTAGCATCATCAGAGCCAGTGGCAAAGGCGTATCCATTCGGGAAAAACTACGAAGAAAAGCAACAAATACATACAGTGCACAGATGCATCGAAAATTCACGGAGTCAGTATACTGCATGAACAAACTGGTGTGAGGCTTTGCCAGATGAGAATTACCATGTCAGTGACTGCAGGGCACTAATGATTTTTATAATTTTTCTTTTTCATGTTGAAGCAGAGTCTTGCCATGCTGCCCAAACTGGCCCTAAACTCTTGCTCCTCCTGCCTCAGCCTTCCAAACCCAGTATTTGACTTTTCTCAATTTTGCATGTTGGAGATTGAACCCAGGACCTCACACGTTAGCAAGCAGTCTACCACCGAGCCTCACATCCCAGCCCTAGAATTTTAAAATAAGTGGAGGCTGCGAAGTTGGTTAGTGAAATGTATTTCCACTTGCTAAAAACTAAGCATCTGCCATGTAGGTGGTGGCACACACCTGTCGTCTCAGCACTTGGGAAGTCAAGACAGAAGGAGCATGAATTCAAGGCCAGCCAGGACTACACAGCAGGACCCTGTCTCAAAAATCAAAAAGAACCCAAGTAGTCACCTGTAAACTTTTATGATTTTCTTCATAAAGATGTGCACCATTTTTGATAAATTTATAATTCTTGTGGCTACTCTTACTAGGATTTTTTTCCTATATTATAATAAATGGTTGGTATAGGAAAGCCACTGCTTTAAAAGTTCTGTAACCCAGAAAACAGACTGAACTTTTGCTTGTGCTTTCTAGACAGCTGAACATACCACCTGCAAACAATATTTTTCCTACTTTCTATTGCATCTATTATTTGGACTTTACAGACAGTTTCAGACTGACTTAAGTAGCAGTGTAGCGCGGCGGTGCATACCTGTAATCCCAGGACTCAGGAGGCTAAGGCAGGAGGATCACTGAATTTTAGGCCAGCCTGAGTCACATGGTGAGGCGCTGTCCCTAACTAACTAACGGTGACAGTGGATTACTGTCCTGTTGCTCTCCGTAAGGAGAGTGCCTCTACGGTATCTCATGAAGAAGGGACACATTTTAGGAGGTTCTCTCCAGGGTTCTTAGATTATGAAAAATTAGAACAACTGCTTTGGGATTGGCTGGGCAGTGACTTGGGAAGGCAGCTGGCTGTGCAAAAGGGGAAGTTGGTCTTACTCTGTAACACGCACCGCTGGAGAAGAATGTTGAGCCTGGAGGTGATGGTTCCAAAGCCTGGAGTCCCAGGACCTGAACCTCCTCTGGCATCCAGCCCGGGCTTAGTTTATTGCAATCTTGCCTCCTGGTGCTAAACAATGAAGGACCCTGGCTTCGGGTGTGAACCCGACTGAACTCACGGTCTTTTCTTTGGCAGGACAATATTTTGAAAAATAAATTGTGCTTGTGCACGTGCGCGTGAGTGTGTGTGTGTGTGTGTGTGTGTGTGTTTCCTTTTAACTTTCTTATCTCCTGTAAGGGAAATCAGTCCATTTCAGTCCATTTGTTCTCCTTTACTGCAAGGGAGGTGTGTGTTCCTAGATGGATGCAGAAGTATTTGTTCCTAGGTTTGGCTAATTTCAGATTCTGTGCACACCCACGAGCTACCTGTTTGCACAACGATGACCTATCCAGCCAATTTTGGAAACAAAACCTCCATTTCTTCCGTAAATAAAGGCATGGCAGTGGTGGCGAACCTATGGCTCGTGTGCTACAGAGGGCTGCTGGTATCACTGAAAGCTCTGAAAGGTTCCCCATCGTTGGCCTAGAGCTATAGGTTAAACTTTTTTCTTAAACTCCTATTATTTAGGAATTCAGTGTTCAGAGCACACCTTATAAGGATCCTCGAGAGAGATTTCAGTTAAAATCATACACTAGAACTCAACATTTTAAAGGAAGAATAAATGTCCTTTAAAATGCCTTGTACTTACGCTGACAGCGTTGATGTCTGAGACGTGGCCGGTGAAGGACTGCCTGCACATCCCGTCGCGGATATCCCACAACTTGGAAGAGGCGTCACAAGCACCAGAGACGAAAGTCCGCATGTCAGGACTCAGGGAAAGACTCATCACATCTCCGGAATGCCCAGTGAATGTGGTGGTCTGCTGGGCAGTTTCGATGTCCCATAAAGCACTATAATTAAAAATAAGTAAAAATACTTAACGATCATTACCACTTACGTTAGTTCCTCGGGTACTCTCAACCCCAAAGGCAGTGTTTTTCTGAAATAAACTTACCAGGTTGTATCTCCTGAACTTGTGACAATTTGGCTGTCATCTAAAAAGCGACAGCAGGACAAGTAGCCTACAGCGGAGAGTAGCAGATTTTAGGTTATCATTGATCAAATAACTCAATTACCATTACTAGTTTTAAAAACAGGTCTGTACAAGTGTTTCCATGATCTATAGTTCTGTTTTTGATTAATTCTAACTCTGGGGGCTGGGGATTTAGCTCAGCGGCAAAGCGCTTGCCTGGCAAGCGCAAGGTCATGAGTTTGATTCCTGGTACCGGAAGACAAAAAAAAAAAAATTCTAACTCTATACTGTCTGCAACTAAGTTTTATCAACACTCTTAGGAGGCACTTAGTATGTCAGTGACACTAGGTACTCTGACAGTGACAAAGGTTACCAAGCCATCTGTCATCTAAGCTACCTATGGAGAAGCCATGCTCCTTTATATGAAGAACCATAATCCTGGCAGACAGTGTTAAGCATCTTGGAGAAAAATCCTTGAAACACTGTGAGAAATCAGAAGAACATCAGTGCAGGCTTTATGACAGATGTGGCACGTGACCGCTTGGCACCATCAGCTATCCAGAGCGTAGAAACGGCAGGAAAGCACCACTTTAAAGATTTTTTTAAAATCATAGTCAAACAGTAACCAAATGCTACACTACGGAACTGCTGTGTTCACACAGGCAAATACAGCACTAGGCCACTGTATAGGGAAAAATACTCCATTAGGACCTCTAACCATACAGTAAGTGCAGATGCCACAGGCCCAGAATTGTTATGCAGTAGCATAAAATATGGAAAAATTTATTTGCTTCCCTTAATGTTTAATTGCTTCTTTTGTGTCTTTATTGTTTGGATCATTCATTCATTCATTCATTCATTCATTATATTTATTTTGAGACAAGACCTTGCTGTGTAGTTTAGGCTGGCTTTCACTCACTTTGTAGTCTAGGTTGGCCTCGAACTCATGCCAAGCTTCCTGCCTCAGCCTCCTGAGTGCTGGGATTATGTATGGAATTTTTGCATGTTTGTAAGAAAAGCCTAGTTTTGAAAGAAAAATAAAATTATGGGGCTGGGAGTGTGGTTCCATGGAGGAGCATATGCTTAGCATACACAAGGTCCTGAGTCCAATCCCCAGCTCCGAATAATATTACAATAATAAAATTATGGTCAACTTTTAGAAGTTGTTTTCCTAATTCGTGGTAATTTCTGCTTTCTTATTACCACTGATCCTTTAGCCAGCTGAGCACAATTAGACACAAATCCTCAATCAGCACATTCTAGGGATAAAGCAAGGTTGAACAGGAAAGAACAGTACTTCCGGAGGCTCACCTGTGTGACCCGGCAACTCTCGGCTCACTCTCACATTCCCCTCTCTGGTTTTTAAATTATAGATAGAGCAGATGTTGTCCAGGCCTCCACAAGCAACGTAGTTACCAGATGGGGCATAAGCACAGGTCATCACCCAGGAGGACCTCAAAGGAATCGCATGCATCTATGAAATGAATACAACCCAGGATTGGGTTAGGAAAATTTACATAAAGTCAATTATCTATTTTTTAAATTCTTCTTCTCAACATTCATTTTTTAAACCTATCTATAAAAATATTGCTAAAATTTAGGTACATTTAAGAAAAATCAGTCAAATGAAAAGTACAATGGCTTGAGAAAGTAAACAATGAAAATCAAAATACCAACCCACATAAAAATGCCTATTAATATTTTCCGTGTTATCAAATCATTTGAAGAAATGTCCTTTTGGAAACAATTCCTTTAACAGAAGCAATGATATAAGCACGTTTCAAAGCTGTTACAGTTTGTATCCAGATGTCCCCCCAAAGCATCATGTGGTCATAGGCGGGGCTTTTCTGAGGTGCCTGGATCTAGCGTGTTGATGCTGGGGTTGAGTGTGTGATGCTGGGGTTAAGGGTGTGAGGCTGGGATTGCTTCATGGTACAATGCTGGGATTAAGGCTGCTCACTGGGTGTGAGTGCTCTTTGGCCCAAGGCTGGCAAGGCTGGCTAGGATATAAGGGACAGAAAGAGGGCTGCCACTTGTCACTTGCTGCTGCTCTGCTACCCTGCTGTCTTCTGCCTAGCATGAACTGTTGCCCCTCTGTCCTGCCACCCTGCCTTGGAGCCAGCCAACTATGGACTGAAACCTCCACAAACTGTGAGCTAAATAAACTTTTGGTTGTCAGGTATCTTGTCTTAGCAATGAGAAAAGTAAGAAAAATGCTAACATAGCCATTTGAAAAATTCAGAATAAAATAGAGATTTGAGCCAGGTGTGGTGGTGCACACATGTAATCCCAGCACTTGGGAGGCTAAGGTAGAGGACTGCCACCAGTTCGAGGCCAGCCTGGACTATACGGCAAGACCACATCTCAAAAAAACAAAACAGTAGCACTCAAAAGAGGAATTTCTTCTGAACAATAAAGAGGGAAATAATTAACACATATCAGAGTGGATTCAAACGGTTCTTCCATTAAGAGACCGACACGAGCATTCTTTAAGTAATAGGGATTCTGGAACCACATTCAAACAATGGTGAGGGTTTTGTACTGTTTCAGTCACATGTGTCTGGGGCCTTGTTATCCAACCTCCATTGCCTGCAGGTTACACGGAAAGGCTCAAGGTGTTCTGGGATGTTAAGGCTAGGCAGTCTGTGTAGGACAGCAACACACTGCATAAATGCTGCTGTGCTCTCAACCTAGAACAACATTTTTAAAGTACTTGTTTTTGGTTTCGTTTTAGGATAATGTAGTTGAAAGAGGCACGCTCTGGGCCAGTTAATCTAGAAAAACTGTTATTGCCTTAGGTAGCTTCAAAATCTCCATCAGAAGCTGGGCGTGGTGGCGCATGCCTAGAATCCCAACACTGGGGAGGCTGAGGCAGGAGGATTGTTGTGAGTTCAAGGCCTGCCTGGACTACACAGTGAGACACTTTCTGAAAAAACAAACAAAAAAATCTTTTCAGACTGTGGGGTAGCTCAGTAGTAGAGCACTTCTCCAGCAAACCCAAGGCCCCTGGTTTGATCTCCAGCACAGCAAAAAGGAAAACAAAACAAAACAAAAAAAACTCACAAAAAACCAGGCTGAAGTTATTATTTTACAAAATAATATTTTCAAATGTTTAAGAAAAATAGTGCTATGTATACACAGAGTATAAAAGTATGTGATTTGTGAAAGTATTCAAAAAGTTTTTCTAATACCACTCAACAACTTTAAATCAGGAATTCCTTACAGCAGCTGTATGAAGAGAAACCCGTCTTCCACTCCTAAACCCAAACAAGCTGTACTTTGCCCATATCCTATCTCCTAAGCAGTCCAGAAACACAAACCAATGCCTGGAGGGGTCGAGGGAGGGCTCCATGCCAACCATCCAGCTCATCCACAATTAGAAATGAAAATCAGGGTCATTACACACCAGGAAATAGGGCTTTTTCAAAATTCATTTATGCATAAAAATGGTACTTTTAGAAGTCAAATACAGCGCCTGCCTGGCAAGCGCAAGGTTATGAGTTCAATTCCTGGTACCGGAAAAAAACAAACAAACAAAAGAAACAAAAACAGAAGTCAAATACAAAATATAAGATTCACGTAAATCACACTGAACGGTATTAATGTACTTCATCCTTGGGAATAAAAAAGGATTAAATACTAAAAGGAAACAACCTAAAGAGAGGCTTTAGATGAAAATGAAATGGAACAGGTTTATCTCAGAAGGCAATTAAAGTTTGAAGCAAGAATAAAAAGAAGAATTCATTGACAGCAAACCAATACAAGATTATTTAAAAGAATGATTTAAAAATTGTACCTTATTTGTTGTATAGCTATCCCATATAATTAATTTTCCATCTTGGGAAGCACTGACTAGTAGCCTAAAGGAACAAACACAAAATTAATTTGATACTTACAACTTATAAGAAAAAAAAAGAGTTTAATTTAGTTATATATTACATTCATGTATGACAGTTCAGAAAACAAAAACAACTTTTCTAAGATACTTGATACTAAAAACGTTCTTCCTATTTTTAAAAAATGTATACAGCATGGCATAAATTTTGAGCATAAATCATAAAGTTAGCAACTCACTAAACACGTCCTTGGTTATGATTCAATTTCTCCATGGTGACAACATTGCAGTTATTATTGAAGGCGTTGGTAGATCTGAGCTGACTGGTTTAGTATATACAATCTACATACATTTAATGAAACAGAGTACGTATACACCTAACACTCATACTTCGTGCAGTCTGAGCGATCAACGGAGAGCCCGTGAGGCCGCGTGCCAGCAGTGTGACAGGTACGCAAGGCACACCTTTGCCTGCAAGGTCGCTAGCATGATGTTCAAGGATCTTTATAATAAATCAAGTGAAAATTGCCAAAGACTAGAATAAAAGAAATACTGTAGGACAGTAAAAGAAGAATGAATAACTGAGCGGAATTAATTAAAAACTGCATCTTGAAAACTGCACTTTGGAGAGCTGCAGCTAGAGAAGTCTGTGTTCTAGCAGGAGGGTGTGCCTGACGACAGGAGGCAGGAATACACACTTGGTGTCCAGACCGAGTCTCTCAGGGCAGAGTTTGTGGGAAACAGGAGATGAACGCTGAGAAGATTAGACTGAGACTGTCCTGCAGAAAGTTCTGTGTGCTAGGCTAAGCAGTAGGAATTCTTAAGTAATAGTCAATCAGATTTGTTCTGTTCTGGAATTTTGTTTTTCACAACTTAAAATTCAAAAGATACCAAAGAATGGACACTGAAAAAAAAAATCACCTTGTGTGCCTAGTCCCGGTCACCCAGTTCCCTCCCCTGCAGATAAATAACCACATGGTCCTTAGTCACTTGTTTTTACAAAAAGGAAAAGCTGGTGGTGGAACAGGGCTAGAATCTAAGGACAACGTTCCAAAATTCAACTGGCACCATCAGCGCATGCGATTACTGAGTAAGGAGTTGATAATCAGACAGTGTAAGACTGGTTCCTGGGTGATTTTTTTGTTTTTGAGAAAATTTTATGAAAGCCAAGCAAAGAACCTTACTTCAAGTGATTGGATTTGCTGTATCAATGAGAGAAATTATCTTTATCTTAAAATATTTTAAGAAAAATATAATTCTGCCCTCACTTTATGTCAATTATATAATTTTAATCTATCTTCTTCTATAGAAGTACATGCTCTATATTCACATATTCAAGTATCGTGTTTATATCAGCATTCAGTAAGACAGGCTTTCTCTACTTAAAATTTTAATGTCTCCTGGAAGCAGATAATAATACATGTGCAACTATTTTTTTTCCAGTGGTACTGAAAATTGATTTTTTTTTTGCCTTGGACATTACCCAATAAGATTAAACAAACCAAAGGAACAAGTCAGCCAGTGTGGCAGCAGGCAAAGCTGCTACTGTCAAACACACTTGGAAGAGTGCAGGCTGCACTGCAATCCCTGGGACACAGTGAATCGTGGTGACCAAACCGTCTACACTGCAAGCCAGGTGTGAGCCAGCGTGTGCGTGTGTGCCGAGGATGCTGACATCACACACTCCAGCACATGCACTTATGGGCTGGGCTGGGGGACTAAAAGATGCACTTAATGAAATCAACCTTGTCACATATAATCTAACCTTTATAACTTTAGGAAAGAAATGGCAATATTGTCTAACTAGCACACAGAAGATGTTCAATAAATATTTGAATATTAATTGAAATTTCAAGGTAAATATGGGTATTTCAACTCCTATTGCAAAACAAAGTATAATATCCCACTGTAAAGAAATGAAATCCTTTCTAAAACTGCTTTCAGATCGTTTGATAATGGGCTTTTTGAGTGGGAAAGTTTTTAAACTTCTAGGGAGGGGTGTAACTCAGCAAAAGAGCTCTCCTAGCAAGCACTAGCCCCGGGTTTGATCTGCAGGCACCCTCCTCTTCAAACAAAGAGCTTCAGTATTCTTAGTGAAAGCAAAATGTTCACACTGGGTGCATTTTCTACAAATATATAGTCATAATATACTGTCATAATGTAGTTTGTTTTTACATAAAGAAAATAATAAACAATGATTCTTAAGAAAAAATAATTCTGCTGACTACTTGAAAATGATAGGCACAAACCTGGAATCATATCCCCAATGCATTGCGTAGATTTTGGCCAGGTGGCCCCTCAGCGTACGCCTTGTCCGCATCTGTATTCGGCCCACAGAGTCCATATTTGATGTGATCTTTGGAAGGCAACAAAAATATCATTCTTTACCTCAGATACAGTTTATAAGATTATTTCAAGTAGCAACAATTGGTAGATAAAAAGACATAAAATTTACAATAATGAATTTCATATATAATTCCACAGAATTATGGGATCAAAATACTGTGCATGCAAACCAATGATTAATTTAAAATAACCGCAGATGCTATCATAACCAAGAATATTTTGTCCGACTATACGTAAAAAGAGTAGGTATACCTCTTTAAAAACCAGCCACGCCAGAGGATAGCAAGAGTAGAGGAAACGCAGGGGTTGGGTAGTGGGCAGCACAATACAGTTACATAGGATGAGTAGGGTCTATAGCACAGTATGGTGATCACAGTTTATAATAACCTACTGTATTTCATAAAACTAGAAATTAGAATTAGAAGACAGGAATCCAAAGCTTCCCAACAAATAGAAATGGTAAGTGTTTAAGGGGAGGGAAAATCTAATTGCCCTGATTTGATCTTTACAAGAGATATAAATAAAATTATCACATTGTACCCATAAATATGTACAACTATGTGTCAATTAAGGAAAAGAAAAAAACTACAAACCAAAATCTAATGGCAGGTGATCAAAGAACATTTATAATTTTGTGTATAAGAAAGCCAGCTTGGTAAGTATACAGCACTTGGCCAGGGATAGAGCTCAGCAGAATCGCACCTGCCTGGCAAGCACAAGGTCCTGAGCTTGATTTCTGGTTCCAAAAAAAAATGTATACAGCACATAAAATATTCCCTTAATAGAAGTGATCAATATTAATAAACTAACAAAACCTTCCCAAGAGTTTCCATAATAAGAGAACACTAATCATGATATACCAATAGGAATAAAAACTACTTAAAACAAGCATAAACTAGATGAATCTACACATTTTTATAGCATTTATTTTTTCCACAGGCTATTTAAGAGAGATATTGTGTGAGTGTGTGTGTGAGTGTGTGTCTCTCTCACACACACACACACACAGAGGAAGAGACAGAGGGACAGGGTCTCACTATAGGCTGTCACTGAACTCAGTGTGTAGCCCAGGCTGGCCTCAAACTTGCTAGTATTTATTGAGAATAAAAGCTTCTGTCTAAGAGGGACAGAAGTGGGTTGTGAGTAGGTGGCCCCATAGCAATATATTTTATTTATTTTGGGTTTTTTTTTTTGGTACTGGGAATCGAACTCATGACCTTGTGCTTGCCAGGCAGGCGCTGTGCTGCTGAGCTAAATCCCCAGCCCAGCAATATATTTTAAAAACACATATACTGTACAATATTTAACAAATTACAGAGTATTTTTTAAAATTACAAGGTATTTTTATAGAGATTTCATCTGCATCAGTGTCAATTTATTTCACGTAAAGTATTAAAATGAATTGAGGGAAAAAAACTTTACCTGAACAAGTGTTGCATCATTACACGCTTTCCTAGCATCCTGAAATAAAGAAAGAGGGTTACTACATGTGGAAACCTCTAGATATGATGAAGATGAAAATTTTATGAAAAATATGAATTTGCAAATAAACTTTTCATGGTACATCTTTCTTTCTGCAGTTTTGTTTTTTTGAGACACAGTTTTACTATATAGTTTAGACTGGGCTTGAACTCACTATGTAGTCCGGGCTGGCTTTAAAGTTGCTGGGATCCTCCTGCCTCCCTCCTGCGTGCTAGAATTATAGTCATGTGCCACCAAGCCTGGCTCTAAAATTGTTTTGACATAGAATTCACATAACTTAAAATGATTTTAAGGTGATTCAGTGATTCTTAAGTGTATTCACAATGCTGTACAACCATCCCGACTATCCAACTCTAAAACATCCCTGTCCCCTGCAAAGAGACCCTGTCATCCTGAGTCCCTCTCCGCCATTCGAAAGCAACCACTAATTTTTTCTTTCCCTGTAGATTTGCCTACTCTTAGATATTTCATATAAATGGAATCATATCACATGTACTCTATGTATCTGGCCTCCTTGATTTAGCATTATGTTCAAGGTGCAGCCATGTTATAGCATTAACGGGTACCTCATTCCGTTCACGACTGAAGAGTAATTCATGACGTGCTGTATCATACTTTGTTTACCTGTTACTCAAAAGTGGTGGGCACACGTTTCCATTTTTCAGCTACTACAAATAATGATGGTGTGAACATTCATATATAAATTTTCATGTGTACTTATGTTTTTAGTTATTTGGGGATTGCAGAAGAGTAGAAGTACCGAAGAGGGCGACACAGCTACTCTTTCAAACTGTTTTTTAAAGCAGCTGCAACAATCTCCCATTCCCAACAATAATGTATTAAGGCTCCAGTTACTCAATTTCTTCATCAACAATATTTAATATTTACTGTAGTATACTTTTTATTTTTTAAAGAGAATAAAAAAATTTTAAAAATAGAAACAATACAGAATTTCATTAAACATGATAGGAATTCAACAGGGTTTGTTACATTGCATACTGCTGTCTTCAAATTAGTTGTTCATATTACCAGATATAAGCATGCAAGATTGTTAAAAAAATTAAAAAAAAAATTAAGCATTAACAGTTCCTTTCCATAAAACAATAGAAATCAGCAGTACACTTCTCCCAGCTATCCTTGTATATATATTTTTTCCCTTCCTTCTTTATTTTCTCCTTTCCCACATCCCAGCTGTTCCTTCCCCTTGAGCAGTTTCTTTCCCTTTCACAATATCTATTGTACCTTTCAGATTTTATTTACTCTTTCAGGTTCTAAAAAGAGGGAGACAATGTGATGTTTACACAAATGGGTCCGATTTATTTCACTTACGAGTATGGTCTCTATTTATACCCATTTACCTATAAAAGCCTCGAGTTTATCTTTTTTTTAATAGCTGAGTAATACTCTATTGTATAAAAACACCACAGCTTTTTTATCCATTCCTCAGCTGATGGGCATTTGGGTTGTTTCCAAGATTTAGCTATGACAAATTGTGCTGGTATAAACATGGGTGCACATATATCGCTGTGGCATGATGTTTTCAGTTCTTCTGGAAAAATACCCAGGAAAAGTTGAATGCAACCTCTAATCCTAGTTTTTTTAGCAATCTGCACACTGATTTCCATAGGTTATACTAGTCTACACTCCCAACAACAGTGTCTCCCATCCAGTGTTTATTACTGGTTGACTTCTTGATGACAGCTGTTCTTTCTGAGGTGAGATGGAATCTCAGTGTTGTTTTAATTTGCATTTCTCAAATGACCAATGATGTAGAACATTTTTTCATATATTTATTTGCCATTTGTATTTCTTCATCTGGGAAGTGTGTATTCATCTCAGATGCCCATTTTTTTTGATTGGGTCTTTGGATTTTGGGGCCCTAATTTTTTAAAAATTCTTTATATGTTCTAGATAGAAGTCCTCTGTCTAAGGGAGAGTTGCCTAATTTTTTCCCCCAATTTGTGGGTTTTCATTTTACACTGTTGGCGATTTCTTTTGATGTGCAAACAGTTTTCAATAAGATGAGATCCCAGTTGTTGATTCTTTGAAGTATTTCCTGTGCAGTTGGGTTTTTGTTGATGAATTCTCTGCCTACCCCTACGTCTTCAAGATTTCTACCTACTTTCTCTTCCAGTAGATTTAGTGTTTCTGTTTTAATGTTTAGATCTTTGATCCATTTTGACCTTAGTTTAGTGCAGGATGATAAGCATGGGTCTAATTTTAGTCTTTGGCATGTGGAAAGCCAGTTTTGCCAGCACCATCTATTAATGAAGCTATCTTTCTTTGAGTGAACACGTTTGGCCCCTTTGTCAAAGATAAGGTGGCTGAGTGCATTTGTAGTTGTCTCTGCACCTTCTAATCTGTTCCACTGATTCTCAGATTTTTTTTTTTTGCCAGTACCTTGCTGATTTTATCACTGTAGCTTTGTAATATAATCTTAAATCAGGGATTGTGATGCCTCCTGCCTTGCCTTTGTTTCCCAGGATTGCTTTTGCTATTCTAGGTCTCTTCTGGTTCAAGATGAATTTCAGGAATGTTTTTTCTAGATCTGTTGGGTATATTAGTGGTATTTTAATCAAGATTGAATTGAATGTGTAAAACAATTTTGGGAGTATAGCCATTTTCACAATGTTGGTTCTTCATATCCATGAACAGGGAATATCTTTCCATGCTCTGAAATCCTCTTGAGTCTCTTTCTTCAGAGTACTATAATTTTCACCGTATATATCTTTTACTTACTTCATTAGATTGATTCCTAAGTATTTCATTTTTTGATGCTATTGTGAAAGGTGTGGTTTCACTAATTTCTCTGTGTTTGTTGTTTGTGTATAGAAATGCTATTGATTTTTGAGTGTTGACTTTGTATCCAACTATGCTACTGAATTTGGTTATTAAATCTAGACAATTGGTGGAGTTTTTGGGGTCCTCTATGTAGAGTATCATGTCATCAGTGAATAATTATAATTTCACTTTTCTTTCCTATCCTTATTCCCTTTATTTCTCTCTAGCATTTCTTGTCTAATTGCTCTGGCTAATGTTTCTAGCACTATACTGAATAGGAGGGGTGAGAGTGGACATCCTTGTCTTGTTCCTGATTTTAAAATGAAACCTTTCAGTTTTTGTCCATTTAGTATGATGTTGGCTATTGGTCTGTCATAGATGGCTTTTATCAGAGTGAGGTAAAGACCATTTATTCCTATTTTCTGTAGGGTTTTTATCATGAATGAGTGTTGGATTTTATCAAAAGCTTTCATCAATTGAGATGATCATGGGATTTTTGTCTTTGGCTCTGTTGATAAGGTGTATTACATTTATTGATTTGTGTATATTGAACAATCCCTGCATTCCTGGGATGAATCCCACTTGGTCATGATGTATAATCTTCTTCATGATTTGTTGCATTCTGTTTGCTTGTATTCTATTGAGAATTTTTGCATCTATGTTCATTAGCAAGATTGGCCTTTTTGGTTCTCTTTTTGGTTGACTGTTTCTCTGGTTTTGATATAAGGGTAATACTTGCCTCCAGGAATGAGTTAGTGAGAACCGACTCCTTTCAATTTCATTAAACAGTTTGAGAAGACTTGGCATTAAATCTTCTCTAAATTTCTTGTAGAACTCAGCTGTGAATCCAGCAGGACCTGGGCTTTTCTTTTTTCTATTACATTTTTAATTTCATTGGTTGATACTGAGTTATTCAGGATTTTTCTAACTTGTTCAGTCAGCTTTAGTAATTCATACGTATCTAGGAATCTGCCCATTTCCTCTGTTTTCCATCCTATGAGAGTAAAGATTTTCGAAGCAGGTACTGATGATCTTCTGAACTTCTACAGGATCTGTAGTGACTTCATCCTTTTTATTCCTTATTGCACAAATTTGAGTTTTTTCTTTCCTGCTTTTGATAAGGTTAGCTACAGGCTTATCAACTTTATTTATTCCTTCAAAGAACCAACTTTTCGATTTATTAATTCTTTGCATTGTTTTCTTATTCTCCATTGTATTCATTTCTGCTCTGATCTTTATAATTTCCTCCCTTCTTTGGACTTTGGGCTTGACTTGCTCTTCTTTTTCTAGAAGCTTCAGGGGCAGCATAAGGTTGTTTATTTGTGCTCATTCCATGTTCCTGATGTGGGAATTCACTACTATAAATTTCCCTCTGAGGACTGCTTTCATTGCATCTCACAGGTTCTGGTAAGTTGTATCGGTATTTTTGTTTGATTGTAAATATTGTTTAATTTCTTTAACTTCATCTGTGATCCACTGGTTGTTCAGGAGAGTTTTATTTAATTTCCATGTGTTTATGGAGTTTTTGCAATTTCTTTTGTCAATAATTTCCAATTTCATTGCACTATGGTTCGATAATATGCATGGGATAATTTCAATTCCTTTGCATTTACTTAAGCATGTTCTATGGGCTAGTATATGGTCTATTTTAGAGAACATCCAGTGTGCAGCTGAGAGGAATGTGTACTCTGATGTTGTTGGGTGGAAAACTCTGTAAAGGTCTATAACTCCAACTCTTTACAAGTTTGGTTTTGTTATTTCCTTGCTGATTTTTTGTCTAGTTGATCTATCTCTTGTGACAATGGAGTGCTAAAGTCCCCTTTTTTAACTGTGTTACTGCTTATTTTATTTTTGATGTCTGTTAAAATTTGTCTTATATAATTGTGTGCTCCTATATTTGGTGCATAGATGTTTATGATTATTATCTCTTCCTCTTGCAGTTTTCCCAGTATGTAGTGACCTTCTTTATCTCTTTTGATCATTCCTGGTTTGAAGTTCACATTGTCTCCAAAGAGAATAGCTACCTCTGCTTTCTTCTGGGTTCCTGTTGCATGGAGTATTGTGTTCCACTGATTTTCAGTCTATGAATTCCCTTTTAAGTTAACTATGTTTCTCGTACACAGCATAATGTTAGATTTTGTTTCTTGATCCACTCTGCCTGTCTGCTTCTTTTGATTGGCGAATTGAGGCCATATACA